CATTGACTTTTGAAACTGGGATACCAGACTGTTACAAATGGCTTACTATTGGCAAGAAAATAACCAAGCTCAGAGAACACCAAGAATCTCACAAAAGGTTTGCTACCTAAATGTCACCTATGGGTAATTTCGCTGTGATAACTCAGAGAAATTGTGTTCCATTTATAACCAGCTATTCTTTTTCTCCTTTATTTACAACGAACTTGGGGATCCAAGATCAGACTTGGTGTTCACTTAGTTTGCTAATAAGGATTTTTTTTTAAAAAAAACACCCTTCGGTAGAGATATTTGCTCTGTAAGATGTAAAATGCTAGAACAAATGTGTACATGTTAACATCACATCTCCGAAGCAAAGTAATCCAGATGTGCTTCACAAATATTAAGAAGTGATAGAGATTACCCAGAAGAGGTTAATTTTTCAAGGGCTTGCTAATCCTCTTTTAAATTCATCAATTTTTATAGAATTTCATTACACTTGACTAGCTTATGACACATTTCCTACCCCATTACAAAAGCAAATAACATGCCATACATGAATCAGGAACTGTTGTATCATTACGTGGTTTTTTTCCCCCAAAAAATGAAACAATACAAATGCTTAAAGAATGACTCAAGTCCTGGCATATTCATGCTAGCTATTGGCAGCATTTAAGAAGAGGTGTTAATGTTTTCCATTGCACCTGATTACCTGTTTTTTTAACACCATGAAAAATTACTCAAGACTGGTGCAAAACAAATGCCTGTACAAATGTGTCAGCCTGTATATTATGTGAACAGAAGCATCCCACCTATAGTTGGGAATGTTGCTACTAATTAATGTGTTATGACATTACATGGAAGAAGGACCTGGGCAAGTAACAACGTAACATATCCCACACACCTTTTCTCACTATCACAATTATCTGAAGTACTCAGGGATCAGTAACCAGATGGAGTCTGATCATTTCATTTTTTTTTTACAGTTTCCTAGGCAATACATTTATTTCACAATGTTATCCTATAGCATCCTAGTCTCCTCTGAGGTTGCAATTGATTTCCCAGAAAGTCAGGTTTTTCTACAGGGTTCAAAACACACAAGTCATCATCTCAGCCTCATCTTCTCGATTTTCATTATTCCATTCTGATGATCATTTAGTCCCAAAGTGATGCAAAATTACTACTTTTTATGACTTGAAATTAAAAAAAAAACTATCTAGCATTCAAATAGCTGAAAATCGTAAATTGGCTTGTAAGCTAAATTAATCTCAACAAGCTTTGAGGACAATACAAGCATCACACACACACATTTTTACAAGCTTCCAGGACAATACACAAGCATCACACACACAATCACACACACACACACACAGAGAGAGAGAGAGAGAGAGAGAGAGAGAGAGAGAGAGAGAGAGAGAGAGAGAGATAGCTTATTTCTCGTTCAAAACAATTTATCTGCAGCATAACTAAGCATTTAAAGGAAGCAAATAAGCCATGATAAATAACCAGGGAATACCAAATAATAATATTGCAATTACTCTGGTCCTCCATATAGGAAACATTTCACAAATCTTCTGGGTTCAGGTGATTTGGCTACAGTTATTTTGTACCCCAAATTTCCATAACAGTTTGTCAGCTGAAACAGGCATAAAGAATTTAATAATAACTGGCAATGGTGTGTTTGATACACTTTATGGAATGAAAATTGCATTGTCCAAAATAAAAGGCTTCTTGAAATGAAAGCTATTATTGCAACCAGATTATTCAGATCTATTCTTAGACTCTCTTAAAATGTATTCCTGTTATAGATACTAATATGACACAAGAAATGAAAAGAAACAGTAGGAAATCTAGACTGCTGTACTCATTTCATCTGTTAACTATAACAGGGCTTCATCTGCTCCTTCTCATGTGTTAATCCATCTATGCATATACTGAGATAAAGAACATAAATTCTTGCACTATTATTGAATAAGATCCATGCAGAGAGAGAAACAACAAAAGGCAGTTAGTAGTATTATTTGTTTTGTTTCTATCATTCAAAGAGAAGGAACAACAAAAATATCACTTTGACTTCAATTTATTTCCCTGTTTAAACAGGTGAATGGACTGTTTCCTCATTCTTAGCCGAGACCATTATTCAAATATGCTTCTCAAATCCCCCTGCTAACTCCCCCCCCCGTGTATGAATTCCGAAATAAATGATTTGAATAACTCATGAGTATTGAAGATCCTAAGCAACCTATTTAGATGTTTGAATATTTTGCTCATTCCCTAACTGTGCCCCAAACTGCATAGAAAATACAAGTTTTATAGCAATATTTTTTTTTAAAAAAAAAAAAAAGGTAAAAGAGTAGGTAGATTTCACAAGCTGTGGTCAATTCAGCATCTTCTATTAGGGAAAAAAGTGTTTTATTAATTTCCTCAGAAATAAAATTTACTGATTCAAGACATGTATACAAATTGTCCTGTATGGTTTGCTAATAGGAAAAAAAGTCTGAGGGGAAGGAAAGGGGGCAGGTGACAATTTGCTAGTTAAATTGGCTGGAATCGAGCACTCAGAAATACTTAAAGCTCTTTGGCCAATGAATAGGAACAGACTGAGATTCACTATATTCTCCCCCCTCCCCCCAGAACAGTATCAACTAATGTTTTCACATCCTGAAAAAGATAACACATTCCTAGAGTGATATCATAAAATATTCCTCTGCTGTTGGCTCCTGAACGCCACAAGAACCCATCCATTTTCTGCTTCTCTTCTTCTGCAGTTCTTCACATCTGGGATCTCCTTATTCCCACCGGGCTAGACAGTATTCTTTAAAGAGGAAGGTTAGCCAGCTGATCCTTGGCTTGAAAAACTCATCAGCATGGCCATCAGCTCTGATGTAAGCCCTCCAGGTGGAGCTCCTGGGTGCATGTAACTTCAAGCCACAAGCAGTGCTCACCGGGCATCCCAGAATTCCCATCTGCACTGGACAATGTTAGGATTGGGGCGGAGCTCCTACAAGTATGGACTCTGCAAAATCTAAAATTTCAGGCTTGCTCAGTCCAGTGAGTGGGAGGTGGTCCTTCAACGGGCAAGCGGCAAATGCAAGCAAGCCTAGCACACCCTAAGGTGGCTGGAGAAACAGCTTTGCTACTTCCTGCAACCCAGTGCTTGCCCTAGCAGATAGCAGTGGAATTCCAGGGAATGCTAGCTGCAGTGTCAGTATCCCTACCACTTACGGTAACAGCAATGGAATACAGTGGAGAAGGCTTTCTGGGTTGCCACAGAAGAAACAGACTAGGAAAGGTACGGGTATGAGAAAGAAGCAAAGAAGATAACTTGCTGCATCTTGTTCATGCAGTCCCTCTTGCAACTTCTGACACTGTTTAAGAGTCATCCAACCATTCTTGTGCCACTACAATACTAACGAGGACGAGCTTTATACACTGGGAGACGCTGCAAGTCAACAGTGGAGAAATGGGTTAAATGAAGTAGTTAAGAGGAACAGGAAACAGGTGAAGGGTGATTTTTAGGTTCCTCATGGGCAACAGAGACCTGTCCTCTGTCCATCTCATCTATTGCAGAACTTGTGCCTGAGAAATGAAATTGCTGGTGAGGAATGTGGGAGCCAGAAAGCAATTTCCAGAGGGAGGAGGAGGAGGAGGAGGAGGAGGAGGAGGAGGAGGAGGAGGAGGAGGAGGAGGAGACAGAAGCATCAACTGTTTGGAAGATGTATTTCTGTCCTTCCACTGGAAGAGTTAAAGAGGGACATTGATGCTCTGATGCAATAAACAGACAACACTGCAGGAGTGGTTCATGAGGCGAGGGAGATGTGTTAAGAGATCGCTTCCTCCTATGACATCACTCAAAGGAGCAGTGGAGCCTGGGGGGGGGGGAACGGAACAAGACAAGCACTTCTGTTCAGATAAGGAAACAGCCAAAGTGATGGGAGCTGAAAGGCTGTCAGAGCACAGAGGATGGCTTGCTCTAAAATGGATGGCAGGTCTACAATTAAATGTTAATGCTGCCAGCGCAGTGAGAAAAGGACTTTCAGTTTAAGTCAAGAACCTCAGGCTGGATGCTTGTAGACGGCAGGAAGAGGACCTAGGTTTTGGGTGGGTTGGCACAGATATTCTCCCTATTCCCCCAATCTTTCCCTTTTGATCCCTATAGCCAGGCTTATTTGCATCTCTCTCCTGCTGGTCATCTGTTTTTAAAATGCCTGCCAATAAGGAAAGGAAGTAGCAACCAGGATTTTCTTTTGGGGGGGAGGAGGGAGAAAGGGAAGTGCCTCAAACTCCAAAGATATCAGCTGCATCCCTTCCCTCTTGCTCTCTGACTGCAACATAATTATTCCAGCAAGAGCAAAGTGACAAATTAACGAAGCAGCCAAGGCTTTTGAATAGAAGGGTGCGCTTTCCCCCAAAATAAATTGCTGTAATCCTTAACGCCTGACACCAAGCTAAACCTCCTCTGTTAATTGGACAGGATCCCCTTTGACAAGTGGAGTCACCTGCCTTCAGCCAAACGAGGAGGAAATATCAGAAAGCAGAAGGACCAGATCAGAATTTCCAGCTAAGGCAGGAGTGGGGCTCTCTGGAGTAAAAACATCCGTGGGTGGGAGATAGGTACAACAATTATCCAGTTTCTAAACCACTGCTTTGGCAAGCTCCAAAACCTTTTACAAAACAAAATGAACTAGAAGTTGGGCAACTTTAAGGAAACACAGCACTCATTTATTGTCCCCAGGTCATCCTCCAAATAAAATAGAAAACCGTAGTTTGAAGGAGGGGAAAACATTTGACGACAGCTGCATTACAGTTTTCCAAACAACCGGGAATGGGAAAAGGCAAAGGCAACCTGGGGGGGGGGGGCTGCCGGAGCCATTCACACACACTTTGGAAATTTAAACCGCCACCGTCCCTTTTGAACACATCCACTTTTTGCCCTCACAGCTAAATAGGAAAAGGAAGAGAGGCAAACCAGAGACAGCAAGGCAAGCATTTCTCCTCCAGTTTGCTCTGTTTTTGCTGCGTACCTGAAATGCAGACAATGAAATTGGCTTGCAGAAGAAAAAGCACCTCCCAAACAATTTCCATCCTCCGATTCTCATGCCAAGTGCATCCCTCGGTGAAAAAACACAGCAAAGATCAATATTGCAGCTTGAGCAATCCCAGAAAATCTCCTTTTGGACTCGCAGCCTCTATTCCCCAGATGTGCTGACACATGTCCGAGCTCTCTCGTCGCTGTGCAGCTCAAGCCAGATCCTTTTTCTTCCTTTGCCGTCCGCCAAAGACTAAGGAGGCAACCGCCAGCACCAGCTTCTTCTTCCTTCAGGAAAGCAAGCAATATCCACCAGGCCTCCCAACAAGACATAGACAAAAAACAAGAGACCGGCAGTTCCCAGCTCCGGAAAGTCTCGATTCTCGGGGACCCGAACGCCAAGTTGTCCCCAAACTCTCTGCACACCTCAGCGAGACATCGCCCCCGCCAGCCGCGCCGCCGTCCCGACGTTCTTTTTCCTTCAAGCTCGCTACAAAACGATCACAAAGAGATTAAGACACATCGCATCGGCCGTCAGGTTTCTTGCACCGCGTTTCACCTACAGCTACAGAGGAGAGGAGGAAATACCCAAACCCGGGTCTCCTGCCAAAAAACAAAAAAACAAAAAACCTTAAAACCCAGCTCAGGCTCCCGCTAATTCCCAGCAACGGAAAAGAGATTTTCCGCAATGCAACTGCAGGGGTCGTTCTTCCCTCGCCTACGCGCGAGTCGCTCGCTCTTCCCTCCCTCCTACGGTTGCTTTCCAAGCTAACGGGGAGAACTCATCGTGGAAGCAAATAAATTAAAATAAATAAATAAAGAGCGTGCCAAGCGTCTCCCCTCCCTCTCTTCACCCCCTCCCCGTTTCTTCCCAATCTTTTCCAAATTAGATAGGGTGGTTTTGGAAGAGATGGGAACGAAGATATCTACATCGCGGTGGAACACACGCGCAGAGATTGCACGTCTCTTCCGCCAGCTAAAGTACACTACGCGGGGGCTCCTGCCTCAGACAAATTTTCCAGTAGGGTTATTTCTGCCTCCAGGAAAATATGCCAAAGCTTTCCTTACCTCCTCCTTTCCGAATATTCGCGTGCAAAATAATAATAATAATAATAATTGCAAATAGATACTTTGCGCTATGCCGGGCTAACTAACGAAATAGTTATGTCTTCCATCTAGGGCCAGAAAGAAAGAAGGCGCGAGGTCCTAAACAGGTCTATTTCAAACAAGTCCCGTTCTTTACGGGAGGGAGGGGGACCCGCTCCCAGGTAAACCTTCTTCCGGCCAGACTGCAACGGCGGGAAAAGGGGCCAAACGTTGGCGGAGCCTCGTGCAGGCTCACCCGGCTTAGATCGTACTTGAGTTTCCCGCAAGCAAACGGTTCCATACTCACGTTTTCCTCCCCGACGCCTCTTTCTCTTCCACCTCCTCCGGCAGGGAGATGGGCTCCCCCGCCGTCGATCTGCCCGCAGTATCGGAAAGAGCGCGAGGTCAAGGCTGCTGGGCTCCTGCTCAGCCCTGAGGGAAAAGCGCGCTTTCAGGCCAGGTCCTCCTTAGGACCGATCTGCCGGCCTCCCCGCCACGCGCGCCCCCCCCCCTTTAAGGGCAGCCAGTCGCACCGGGCTCCGGGAGGCCCGAGCCAGCCCGCCACGCTCCGGCAGCGCCACGCGCAGTCCGGCGGGGCAAAAGGCGGCGAGGCAGCGCGCGCAGGCTTGCCAGCCAGCCAGCGAGCGTTCCGCGACGGGAGGCGGCGCGTTCGGCGGCCAGTCGGCAGCCGGAGCTGCAGCCCAGGTTGGAATCCGGTCTCCGCCGCCGAAGAGCCGCGCAGTCTGGGCATGCCTATGGCTCGCCCCCTGGAAGGCTCTAGCTGCAAATGACGCCGGGTGCCCGGACGCTTCCTGCCCGCTGCGAACTTTCTTTCCTCTGCATTGATGTGTTATTGCTTTTTTTTTTCCCTCCTTAAAAAAGAAAAATATCATGAGCGGTAACAACGTTCCCCAAAAGTTGCGCCAGAACTAGGAAAGCATACCGTACTTGCGGGGAAATGGGGGCGGGAGGAAATGGGCGGGTGTGAGTCCGAGCGAAGGAGTCTAGTGGCGCAATCCACGGTACTGATTCCCACGTGCGCAGGGCCTGCCCTCCTCGACATGCTTGGCAAAAGTAAGTTCGGGGCAGAGAGGTCCACGTTTGCCCTGCACAGGGACTTCCTTGCGGGTGCCTGGTCGGCTTTGGTAGCTTGGGCTTTCCCGCACCGAGAAGACCGCCAACTACAAATGGACTGGTGGCGCCGAGGATGAGGGCTGCTCGTCGGGGGATGAAAAGGTCCAAAGTACCGGGGGCGGGGTGCCGAGACATAGTGAAGTGGAATCCCCCCCCCCAGCTCTCCAAGCGTTTGCGCATTTTTTAGCACCGCCGTATGCTTACTCAGAACTTTGTTCGGCAGGATTTACTCCCAAGCAAGTGTGGGGAGAGTGGCAGGCCGTCTGAAGAGAGAGCCACGTGTCTTCAATGAAGGGTGTGATACATACATTTGTTTGAGTCAAACTGAGTTGAAAGAGCTACATTTTGATGTCCTCCCCCTCCCCCGCCAATCCAGCTTAAAAAAGGAAAGGACAGATTTCCCGGGCGAGGTATGTTTCTTCCTAGCAAACAGAATTGGTAGGTTTTTGTTTTACTAAATGAGAGGGAGGAATTTACAAAGATGTCCGAGATATTTTTAATTGGATACATCCATAACTTTGGAGATTTTCTGCATTCCAAACAAGGTGTTAAAGCGGTACACTGGTTCCTCCCCTTTCAAAATTAGTTGTCCGGTGAGGTTTCTAAAATGTCTTTTCTTGCCCTGCCATTTGCCAAATTGGAGAAGCGATGGACGCAGGTTTTGTTATTTTTTTCCCCAAAGTTTTCACGGTATTTTAATTGGACTCTGCTATAAATTCATCTTGGTTTCAGTTATGCCGGCTCTATGGTTGCAGCAATAAATTAATTGCCTATTTGGTCTGTGTGTTTGTGGGGAAAATATATGTTAATTAAAAATATACATATGCAAAATCAAATTTCATCTTTATATATAGATTGTAAAACTTTCAGGTCAGGCACTAAAAGACTTTGATTTAGTGCAAGAAACAAGAGATCTAAGGCACACATTTCATGAAAATGTCAGGTTTTTCTGAAATTCCTAATCACGTTACACTCCTGCACCTTAAAAGTCATGGGGAATAATGGTAAGTAGAATCTGAATTGAAAATCTGCATCCATTTTCAATATTTGAGCACATATCAAATTTATCATCTTTTGCTGTTTCACTAAATGTGTCATCAGCTTTCTCTATTCCAGTATCTGATTAATTAGAGCTTCAAACAGAAGAATTCTGAGGACGCAAAGGGGTTGTAGACCCAATCTGTGGTGGTGATGGGCAATAAATAGGGCTGTAGACTAGCCAGACCAAATCAAAAGCAACATTGGAGCAACAAAATTGGAGCAATTCCCTAACGAATTATTAAATCCCACCATCTGTTAGAGAGACATGAGAAACCAATGCTAATGTTACGTCAGCACCATGGACAGCAGCATGTCTGATGGCATGCAGCTTGTTCTCTGTATGCTATACTAGTAATCAGCATTTGGGTGTCTGCTTGCATAAGGCTGAGTTACTATCATTAGTCCTTCAGAAGATCCTTTTCTCCAGTTACAGATTTTCTTTATTTGTATCTGACTACAGCACAAAATAACAAGACATTTTTCTGCCCTGTTCCTATGACTTTGCCTTCATCTTATCCCCAGATCTTGAGTGACACTGCATTAAGTTGCCTTTTGCTACATTATGTATTTAAAAAGTATTTTCCCCATATTCCAATATTATCCAAGGGCAGCATTAAAATGTGGGGAATCTGTTTGTCTTTGCCACTTCTTGTATTGGTAAGAAGTTAGATGATTAGTAAAGACTGGGAAAAGAAGCAGAAGAGACATGACTGGCCTGATGGAAATAAATTTCATGCAGGTATGATTTCCATGGACTCTAAGACAGATGAAGAGCATCAACTCTTCAGTTCAGAAAATAACATAGTCTTCTTTTGCTACACTTGATAATAGGTCACCATCCTCCAAAAAGCCTACAGCCCATCTGAATTTGAAGCTGAAAGACCTTGACCACTGACACCTTTCCAAGAATGGAGAAATGCTCCATCCAACCAAATAATACCTAGTCAGCAGACCTCACAAGGCATTTAATTGTTGCCTCACTCTCATTGCATTAAAGAGCTAGTTTGGTGCAGTGATTAAGGCTAGAAACTACAAGTTCTAGTCCCACCTTCAGCACAAAGTCAGCTGAATGACTTTGCGCCAGTTCCTCTATCTCAATCCTAGAAAATAGGCAAAGACAAACCACTTCCAAGAAAACTACAGAGATTCATCCAGGCAGACACCAGGAATCAACACAGACTCAAAGCTCCCCCCCCCCCCATAACCCTCTCCACTGTTGCCACATAGTCCCAAAGCCATAGGATACTCCCTAAGTGTACCAGAGAAATTATGCTACTAAGTAAATAGATTGAGTACCATTCCCTGGCTTCATATATTATTGAAATAGACCTTGATGAATAAATGGAATATTTATAATTTGGTTTATTTGTTCATAACTTTGGTTAGAGTAATTTGGTTTACAGGTGTTTTTGTTCTATAACTGCTACTCAGAAGGAAGCGAATGGAGTTTTTTTGTAGTTTATTCAGTAATAGGTGATTATTAATTTCCAACAAATTGTTGTTTCACTTTAATTATTAGATGGGTCCTAGATGAGCCTAGATCAGGGGTGTCAAACTCGCAACATCACATGACCTGTCGTGACGTGTTGTGACTTTCCCCCCATTGCCGGCAATGGGGTGGACGCAGTTTTGGGCGTGATGCATCCATTTTGACACCCCTGGCCTAGATCAACCATTTATTTTCACTTGTGTCTGCTCGGAATGAGAATGAATGGATAGATGAGATAAGATGTGCCCTCCGGCACTAACATCAGGGAACTTGATCTGTCTTTAGGGACCCTCTTGCATGTGTGTTCATACACAAAGATTTGTTGTACTCATATAAACACAAATTTGTTGCAATGCAAACCCAGTAAGCAGAGATCTTTTTGCTACAAATAAATAAACACACAAGAGGACTGAGCTATGTGGAAGTAAATCTCAGATTGTCAGTACGGTTGAGTAACCACCGTTATTAAAAAATAATACAAGTTATCTTGCCTTTGTTCCAAGGACTGAGTTGAAACCACTTGAAACAAGTCCTGAACTTGGTGTTCTTAAGAAATAATGGATCCGGTTATCTTTAAAAAAAATCTCTTTTTTGTAATTCTAAGCTATGCTCCCCTTCCCCCTCCCCCTTCCACAGCCTGGTTAAATTCTCTTTCATTTATATCAAGGATTTTCAATGGGGGATAAAAGAACTTAGATGGGAAATAACATTTTTTAAAAAATAATAATAAATCTTTGCCCAAGCAAAATGGAAGTACTGTCAAAACCTATCTGTGATTTTGTTTTTAATTTTGCTTGTGTAAGCCATCTGCAGATTTATGCAAACAAAGTAGGAATAAGTTTTGACAGTTTTGACCATGTAAACCCATAGTGATTGCAATGCCACAGAATGTGAGAATCCTTTGAGATAGGTTGATTATTTAATTATTGAAAGTAAGTTGCATATTCATTTCTTGCCCACTGGAATCCCAGTGGAATCATTTGTTTGATTTGATGAGCATGCATGTGACTCTTTTTATCATTGGGAGGAAATGTGATAAGCAAAATACATAATCACACACTTACACAATAGAAATAAATGCTGATCCCTTCTGTCTATTCCAACAGGTACAAGTATATTATTTACAGAAATAGGAAGGGGTAATTATCAGATTCTACAGTTCCCATTGGCTGCTAAATAAATAAGACAATTGAACTGCCATCCCAAGCCAACACATTATTGAAATAGACCTTGCTGAATAAATAGAATATGAATTTATCTGATGTACATTATTTGATGCAGAAGTTCTTGCTGCCTGAAAATGATGGAGAGCATCTTTTCTGGCAGGGGCTAAGCAGGAAAAGAAGGAATAAACCTGCCATAATCCAGGTCTCTGGGATTTGAAAGAACTCAGAAATGGGGGGGGGCATGGAGGCAAAGTCTCTTCACCTCCCTTTCATGGTCCCTGATAGATGCCTTGCCCTTCTACTCTATTTCTGTGACTAGTTTTCACTGTAAGCCTATCTGCATTTTCTTGATCGCTCTTGATTCATATACATTCCGAAGTCTTTGTAGATTTATTCAGACATATGAATCTACACCTATATCTCTGATGCTTGGATCCGATTCATCATTTGGTTCTTTCTGACATGTCCCATATACTTAAAAGGGACCAAAGTCTGAGTGCAACCATATCTACAGTCCCTCAAGTGACTGGGCTCTTCAGTGAAGAATTTGTTGTGATTTTTCCACGAGTTCGGTCACAAGAGTTAAAAAAAAAGGATGACATGCCTATAAAATTTAAAACTGACCCCAACGTGGATGAAACTAAGATGCAATCTACAAACACTCTCATACATTTGCCATACCTCTTCTATTCCCCGCCTTTACAAAAGGTTAGCAGAAGATACTTCAATAAATGAAAAAATGGGTAACTCAATCATTCAAAATTAGTAATTATTACAGTCAGTCTTATTCATTATTAATTTAGCCAAACAAGTAATTTTAATTACCAGATTAATTAACTTATTTCATCTCAGAATCAAGTCAGATGTAACTGGCGATAATCTATAATAATTTTGCATCAATAGTGGCATGCACCTTTTGTCTGGTATATGCAGGTAGCAAACAAGCTCTCTAAACAATCATGCACTATCCATGGCCATA